AGAACATTTTGTTTTATGAGCTGAAATAAAACTGAAAGAGGGAAGGCACAGCAAATTGACAATGTGTCCTTGCAGAACATGTTTCTGACTTTCTCACATCAACCAGGAGTTCACCTTCCCTGCTCCTCCTGCAGTCACTGCCTGCTGAGCTATTCTGAAGTTAGAAAGTCGCTGTAGATTCTGCAACCTCATCATCTTCCTGGTCATCAGCAGAAAACAAGAAAGCCTCCAGGTGCCTCCACCCTGGGCTGCAGCAGCCAACAATATTGTCTTCTGGGGCCACAGACGCTAATTCATCTCCCCCAAGAAAGCCAGTTGCCAGGGACAATTACATTAAACTTCATTAACCTGACACATCTTGCATATTCTACTATATAATATACTGGCAGAATCCTTAAATGGCCAGGAATTCTGATGTTAGCAAACCTGCTTCTTGTTCTTTAATGCCAGAGCTCAGTCCTAGATTGTAAGATTTGGGGGAGTAATGCAAAGCTCAGCTATACTGCTGGAAATTGCAGGAAAATAGGCTGGGCAGGTGTTGTATTAATATATGTGTGATAACTTCCTGCACTATAAAGTATTCTGATTTATGTGTGGGTTCAGGGATGCTTCCAGATGGAGGGGTCCCCATGCTGCCCATGAGCAGGGTTTGTGTAGCTCTCAGCTTTCTTTGCTCAATGAATTTTCTGCAGTAAGGCAAAAGGAGGGAAGAAGCAGTGAGAAGACAGGGAAAGCTGATGGCTGGGAAATGGTGCTATCAAGACCCTCTCTAAAATGCTGTGAATCCGGCAGGGTGATAGTGCAAAACAGGCCTAGTTGGTGCGCAGTTTCAGAAACAGGCATGAGGCAGATGCATGCAGTCAAGACTTAAGACAACAGCTGGCTGGGGATGATGGGAACTGCAGATCTACACATTTGGAAGGTGTCAGGTTGGAGAGGCTGAACTACTACCTGACTTGATGTCCTTCAGATGTATTGGAGGACAATTCCCAGCATCCCAACCGTAGGTGACACAGAGGGCATGCCTAGCAGAAGGGCCAGAATGGAACTCAGCCCTGAAGATAAAAAATATCGCTCCATTTTTTTAAAGCCACCAGAGAAGGGAACCCATCAGACTTCCTGGGAGAGCCCAGTCCACAGACAGGGCATCATGCAGCAGGCAACAAGGCAAAATCTCGGCTGGCCATGTGGCCAGCCGATAAAAGAAATCTAACTGGGCCAGCCCCTGTATGTAGGAGTTCCATGCACATACATCAACATGAGTTGGCTGAATGTATGGATGGTGGGGGCAGAGTGCCACAACTTCCTTCAGGTCTTCTTTTGAGCCATGGGAAGAAGTGCATCTGACACCCCCCCCCCCCCCGCCCACTAAATCAATCTGGTTAGAGGCAAATAACCCATTCAGATGACCTGTTTCCTGGCCATCTAAGGCATTATAGGTAATAGTCAGTTATTTGCATAGGGCTTGGAAATGAGCAGCCAGCCGGTGCATCTTGAGCAAAACTGGAGTTACAGGATTCTTAAAGCAAACACCAGACAACATGCTGGGTGTCACAGTTTGCACTAACAAAAGTTTCTGATAATTTTTCAAAGGCAACACCATGTAGAGACACTGTGGTGATCTAATCTGGATTCATACTGATTTTCTACAACCCACAATTTGGAAATCAGAAGCTGCTGTGGCAAGATGCAGGAACTGTAGTAAACATAAGGCATGATAAGCTTCAGTGCTGATGCAATACTAAGCCATGACTGTAGCTGACAAGGGAAAGCAGTGGGCAAACTCATGCTTGGCAGCAAAAAGAGGAGGGAGTGCATATTACTGAGGCTGGCTCCCAATTTGTAAGCCAATCTGAACCTCCACCCTGCCCCATCCTTGCATGATATCCCAGGAGATGGAGAGACGTTCGCTTCATGACAGCCAGCCTCCAGGGGCCGTGCTCTCAGCTGAAAGCAATTTGACTTCTTGCTAGCCTCCTTAGCCTTCTGCTCTCCTGAGAGGTGAGCCATCTTCCTAATTTGCAGGCTCATCAAGATGAGCGAGCAGCAGCAACCTCCCCTGCTCAGAGGCTAGCAAAGGTTTGGTCATCTCAATCAATACGTGTAATCAGAAGACAATGGTTGGGGAGGGAGCGACTTCTCAGGAATTGAAATGTGGAAGTGTAAAGATACATTATCTCTTCTCCCTGATCAACATCAGCATGTAATAACGCGGATTCTGAACACTGCACTTTCAGCCACCAGTTATGAATTACTTGGTGGCATACAAAATATGCTACTCTTGAAAGAAATAACATTCTGTGCCCACCTCCAGATGTTTTGGACTACAGCTCCCATTAGCCCTAGCCAGCATAGTCAGGTAGTCCACGATGATGGGAGCTGTCATCCAAAGCATCTGAAGGACACCACATTAGAGAAGCTGTAACATCCCAATATTGCTTTCCGTGGTATCTACCTGGCCAGCTGGTACTAAGAGTGGGAGCTGGTAACCACATTGCTTCCACACCACATCATTTTAGCACCGTTGGAGCTTAAACTGGGATTACAGTGAGGTTCCACACAAACTATATTATTCAACAATAGACCAACCCTTGTGAGGCAAAAACATTCCAAACAAGTATTAATTAAAGCACCATAATTGTGGGTTAAGCCAATTGTGTTGCTTCATGGTGAGTGTGGGTGGAGGATTAGTGGCGAATAGTCTGTTCACAGCCCCTTGAATAGCCTTCTTTAATGGCACACATGAAAAGGACTAGGATGGTTATATAAGATTTTCTGCTTCAGGAGACCAAGCAAAATTCTGGGGAGCGGAAGGGGAATAAACCTAAGGGCTCACATCTCAGAGTTTTCACAATCTGTCAATTTCTACCCCAAGATATTATTGGGCAACTGAGAGGCCAGGATAGGTAACTGGATTTGGGAACCTGAAAGCTTCCACAAATAGCTGGGGGCAGCACTGCTTGTTTACTGCTTAACAAGGTCAGTAGTTCTTCCAGCACATTAAGAACATTAGAGCTATACTGGATCAGTCCAAGTTCTTGTCTTATCCAGGTTTTTGGTAAAATGTCCAAGGTTGGTACCTCCTTCCCTGCCAAAGGACATTCTAGCAGAATTTTAAAATGTCTCCACTTGCACAAGTATGAATTTCCACAGTTGTGCAAGTACAGTTCAAAAAGATAAAAAAGAGCAAACAAAACCAATTTGGGCACACTGTTTGTTCATTTTATTTAAATAGTCCACCAGCCATTGCCAGGTGCTGCCTGGGAACATTGAAGGGCTGTCAGTGGCTATCAAAACAGGGATTGTGAAAGCTGGATGTCAACCCAGCTTTTGTGATCTCAGAAAATAAAAAATGACCTAGTGCAAAGAAGCCACAGCGAACCAATATTGGTTCAGAATTGCAGTGAGGAGGGCAGTAAACCAGTGCCAGCCACCTCTAATGCATAGTCTGCCTGACCTGACCCTGACCGGCTTGTTGCCCTCATACAAGAATCCCTGTGGGAAACATTTTAGGTTTGAGTTTGCACAATGGGTTCTTGTGTCATGCAAACCAAGGCAATCCCCTTTCACTGAAAATTATGCATTTGTTCTGCTGCCCAGGTGTGACGCATCAGCTGCCTCTTCTTATGGAAATTGCTAGCACCCTCACCTGGCTTGATGTTCAAGGCATCACTATATTAGCTTGGAAGTGTGGAATGCTGGAACATGTGAAAGCTTCCCTTTCCTTATCCTAAGAGAACAGTTGCATGCTGATAACTTCAACAAGTTTAGGATTCTGAAGCGGAACCTCTTTTTACCTAGGTGCTATTATTCTTTTGGGATCATGCCATTGCCCTTCCCGCTCCCCTTTTCCAATCAACCTAAACATGAAAGCAGCCAAGCTGTGCAGTGATGCTGCACAGACCATCCAGGATATGTGTACCTCTTTCCCAAGAGGTTGAGCTGTAGAAACCTAAAGAAAAGAACTGCAGTTGGCATGGAAAAGGTTGCCTTCTGCACTGCTAAAGGGACAATTTTTTACCTGTAATCCTCCGGAGTTTCTAATACAGGCAAAGAACAGAGATCCATTACTACAATTCCAGAATTTTGCTGGAGGCAGGTTTTCATGAAGGACATAAATTTCATTACAATTCCAGTGTGGCGGCACATCTATCTCTGAAGCAGTGCAGTGATATTAATGATGATTCAGATGAATATGATTGTTAGGATGACGCTGGTAGTGAGGGTGGTGCTGATAATGCTCCTGGTAGGACCTCTAGCATGGAATCCTCAAAGTCACCTTTGGATACCTTTTAGAGCAGGAATGCAGAACCTCTGGCCTGGGAGCCAAATCCATCCCTCCTGGGTCCCTAAGCCAATTCTCTGGGGGCCTCCAGAAACTACATCCCTGTCCCCTTGGCCTCTCCCTCTTTCTACCAACATCCAGTTTCCTTGCTTTTGTGCACTTTCCCCCATTCTACAAGGCTGAAACACATCTCCTAAGGTGTGCTTACTGCCAAAAAGAATTTTAAGCTACAATATACAATGTTTGCATTTTTGTTCCCACCCCTTTCACCTTTGGCCTGGCCCCATAACCACTGAGATGTGGCTCTCAAGAACTCAGAATGGGAACCTGGCCCTTGTGCTGCAGGGGATTGCCAACCACTGATCCATTGAAGGGACAATGTATTTATGGCACAGATCAAGCTGAGGACATTGCATCATACACTAGATTTTAGAGTGTTCCCTGAATGATAAGCCTAGATGGAGATTCTTGGGATGTCTGACTGTACAATGGGTGACTGGCCAATGGGAAAGAATAATGTGATGCCTGCTTGCTGATAATAGCTCTGTATTTAGTGGACTGGGCGATATAACTTGTCAGAGGTGCTAAAAAGGGTTGCCAGGAGCATTTGCTTGCCAAGCAGCTAGTTTTGTGTGTTGGGGTATGTGGGGGAGGAAAAAGCACGTACTCATCCGAAATGTTATGGGTAGAATCCTGTTCCCCATTTCTAACTTACTTTCCTTCAGATCCATAGCTGTTCATGCTTTCTTCAATAGATTCATGGCTGGCTTGTCGGATTGTCCGGCTTGGCATTTCAACAGCCAGACCCGTTTCCGTGCTGCGCTGGATAGCACCTTTGAGTTTCCGGCCATCTCCTTCTAAAGCAAAGAGGGAGAGAAATGTGGGAGGCAGGAAGGGTGGGAAAGAGAGAAAGGCAAGGAAAGGGATTAGGCATTTAGATGTGGTCTGGATGCACACAGCAATGAAATACGAGGCAGAAACAGCATAACGGGGAAGCTGTACCTGGACATCTGGAACCTAGGATGGCACTAGAGCCTGGGAACTACAGGCAATGAAGTCCTTCAGGCATAGCAGGAAGGGAGGGGAAGTGATCCCACATATCATTTTGCTTCTCGAAAGGAGTCTTCAAAGTGCTTTACCATGAGCATAACTCAAACTGAGCAAACTCTCTTAAAATGCTTCACAGAGAATCACACAGTAAGCTCATGAAACCCAATCATTGCTACTCTAATTCTAACATGCATTCCAACAAAATGTCAGAGAAGTACTGGGCTCCACAGGTTAGTTAGTGTCATCCCATGATCCACATCCACGCATGATTCTTCCTTGATCTGGCATGTGTGGGGGAAGCTCTACACAAGGGGTGTTGAACCTCAGGTCTGAGGCCAAATCTGACCATCCGAACATCCCAGTGTATCCTAACACTGACCCTCTGGAGTTCCCGAAGAACATGGTCTTGCCCCTCATCCCAGCCCATTTCCCCAACTGCTGAATATTTGTTGGTACCCTGGCTTTTGGACAGTCTCCTCCACCACTCCTGAAAGGCTGAAATGCTTCTCCTAAGATTTAATTGCTTACTGTAGAAGTTTTAGGCTGGTACTGCTGGTACTGGGGAATTTGGGGACCTACCCCTTTCGCCAGTGCACCACTGCAATGAAGCACCCGCCTGAATTTTCACCATGGGCTGAAAGAATTTTTGCACCCCTGCAGAGATTCCTTTCCCTTGCCTAAAAGAACTGAACTGTATTTTGGAAAGTGTGCAGGAGCCCTTCTCATAAGAATATAAGAAGATCCACACTGAATCTTCTAGGATCCATCTAGTCCAGCACTCTGTTCATGCAGCGGCCAATCAGCTACGTAACAACACCCTCCTTCCCATGTGTCTCTGCAATAGTACACATACTGCCTCTGTTACTGTAAGGCACACATGAGGACTAGTAGCCATAAGCAGCCTTCTCCTCCATAAATGTGTCCATTCCCCTTTTGCCTGTTCTCACTGCATTGCATTGCATTGCATTGCATTGCATTGCATTGCATTGCATTGCATTGCATTTTAAAGCCATCCAGACTGGTAGCCAGCATTACATCTTCAGGAAGTGCAGTTCTCATGTGCTGAATCTGTAAGTGTTGTGCAGGAGTAGGGTATTGTTGCTGGGTGCATGGGAGGAAGGCATAGGCCATGCAGCCCCCACACTGGTGATCTTAGAATGTGTGGCCAGTCAGCAAACACTTCTCCCTCCCTCCCTCCCTCTCTGAGCTTATGAAAGCTGCTCTCCAAATTCTCAGTTCTACATCTCTTTAACTGGAGATGTTGGGGATTGACCCCAAAGCCTTGTATATGCGAGGCACATGCTCAAACTCTAAGCCGTGGCCTTTCCTGCTCAGGAGACTGCTTCATCAAGCGAATAAGCTCTCCTATATCTTTGCATCCCTCAAGGATATTTCGAATCCAGTCTTCTAATAAGGCAGAGAGCCACCTGGTGCTTGTTCAGTTGAACTTGTAGTCTGCATGTTAGTTCGGAACGCTTCCATTGTGCTCGATCCAGAGATGATGCTTAATGGTATATCTGAATGTTCCATTTTCATCTAAACATGCAGTTCTGGATGAGGGTGACTTTTGGCTCAGACACACACTGGCACACATTGATTGCATTTTAAATAAGATGCTACTCAACGGTAGAACTGAGGCTATTCTTGCACATACTGTTAGACAGGAGTGCATGGCAAAACCAGGTGTTTCCTGCGTGCACTCAGCAAAAACTATCTGTATGCACTGAGAGTACACAGCCACCCTCAGTCTAATCAGCATTGCCCAGCTAAATGCTTTAGCTGATGCATCATCAGAGCAAATAATAGCATGCATACAATGATGCAGTGGAGCCAGGACTCACAGCGTAGAAACACCCATACTTTAATTAGCAGGAACCTTGACATCGCCTGCTACCCCTCCCAGACTTCCTTGTTCCTCCTGAGTTTTAGTTTGTGGACTTTGAGATAAGTTGTTTCTCCTTAGCATTTGGAAAGAAACTCTTGGAAAATCTTGAGCAGGCAGGCCTATGCTATTTGGGGACATGTTGGATTTGTTTCCATGATCACAGAGGGAAAATCAGCCATAATGCCTGTCATAAGCGGCACGTGCCTGTTGCAACTGGCTGAATTAGCATAATTAGTTTTGCCATGCTATCTGGCAGTGACTGGGGTGGCTTACCTTAGAACAACAAGCCGTGGGTTTCAGGGTGGTTTGTAAACCACTCCAGCCACCATCCTTTTTGGGTTCAGCTGTCACAACATGCAAGGTAATTGTTCTAATTAGGTAGCTCTCAACCAGCACATATTGGGAGGGAAAATTAGCCATAGTGGCTCATTTCTTTTCTGTGTGGGTGCAAGCCCAGTCATTGTGACCCTCTCCTTTCCATCTCATGAATTTTCAGGTTTCTCCAGCTAAAGTCCAATAGGCTCACCACTGCATTACCCTTTGCCTGCTTGACTTAAGTTCCTCCTAATGAATATTATGCTAAGTACCGCTGCTCTTTGGTGTGTGTATGTACACACAAACAGCTCAACACATTTTTGGATGCTGTTTGGGACCTCCTTCAGGACCTGCCTGTGGGAATGAATGAGTGCCTGCACTTCACATTTACACGACACCACGGAAGACTGACAAACCGAGCTATTTGTTGAAGTGAAATGGTTCATTCAGAGGCACAATCATCATAACTGAGCTAAGAGCCCACATGCAGTTTCCAGAATTGTACACAATCCTGCTGAAATGAACATTCATGAGATTCATTCAATCTCCCTCATTCAAAACCAGCACATTACACAGACGTGCATGTTTGGTTGGTGAAAGAGACGTCACTTTTTAAATCTGATGAAGGGAGACCCATGAGACCATGTAAATGTCACCTCTAAACCGTAATCCTAGTTCACTCGCATAACAGCTGAGCTGGCAAAGCAGTCTCAGGCCTTCACCATTTCAGAAAGCAAGTGGAGGATCCATCAACTGACCATTCCCCTATGCAATATTGCTGTTGCATTGATGTTTTTAATCCTTTAATTGTTTTAATGGGTTTTAATGTGCTGGGGTGTGTGTGTGTGTTTAATATGTCATAAGCTGCCTAGGAAGGTTTTTTGGCAGTTATCGGTGGCCTATAACTATGTGAATAAATAAATACATACATGCATACATACAATCCCTGAACATACAGAATAAGCACATCAGTGCGAGCATTCAGGGGACTTCCTCAACATGGCACCCTTTACAAGTGGACTTCCCTGTCCCTTCCCGTAGCAGCCCCTCCAGCCTGCTAAAAATGTTGCACACAGAAGCAGGAGACTGAGCTATGGAGGATCTCCAAACAGCAGGCAGAGGGAATTGGCTAGAGCAGAACCCTTCCACTTGCCAAAGGTCACTTTCCCTTGTAGATGGCAGGTTCTGCATAAAGTCCAACATTTTTTGAAGGACAACTCCTATCAATCTCAGGCAGCATGGACGGTGGCCGGGGATGATGAGAATTATAGTACAAACCTTGAGGCGGGGAAAAGTTGACTTTGGGGGAAAGTGTCTATCATCTGGTTTTCTGTGTATTGGGAGCTATATGAAGGACCTAAGATCTTCCAGCTGCAAAGTCCAGAACCAGTTTGACCACCTTGATTATGTTTGTGTGAGCTTCCTTTGGAGACCAGTTATGAAAGCTGTCGTATGAATTTTGACATTTGATCCATGAGTGAATTCTCTGTGGCTGATCTTTAGTGGTGGAAACCATGGAATTCTTTGTCCTGGGAATCTTGGCTGGCCTCCTCTCTTGTGTTGCTTTGCGGCAATACACTGTCCAGTTCAGGCAGACAAAACTTACTTTATCAGACAGATATATTTTTATCCAGTGCATCTGCCTTTGTTTTTATTCTATCATGGGGTCATGTGAATGCATTCAGGAGTATTGATTTTATGGTTGAGTTTGTGTGCTGCTGGCCACCTTGAGTGGTGCACAGGTACAAGAAGGGTGGGATGCACATTTTTGCATTGGAAGAGCCAATCTTGCAAATAAAGGATCCCACTCCATGTCCTGCCTGAAATACATTCCAGTGGCATGAATAATTTTGACACCACATATTCCATTTCTTGAAGAACTAGCCTTCAGAAGCCAACCCTCTGAAATTAATGGTTTCTATTTTCATCATCTGTTCTCGCAGCCCATATTGCTTAGAATAAATTATGTTATATAATGAATATATAATGAATACCATTAACACTAATTGCTTTGGCTGACGTCGGGAAGGCAAGACATTTCAGCTGACATGCAATACTTAAACCATAATGCTGACAAAGGGCTGCAAAATTCTTTTAATGAATTAGGATGTTGAACTCGGTTCAAAATGTACCCTACCATTAGAACACACTATTCTTTTATTTCTTTGGATGAGTTTGCAGATCATGCTAAGCCACTTTGCAAAATGGTTTGCACAGCAACTCAAGGTACGGCCAGTAGAAGATGGGGCTTCTCCTGGCTTGTTCTTCCACTATTCCCCTCTCAGTCCTTCAGCCAGTATCCCAGCAGCAGACTTCATCTTGTCTCCTCCTCCTCCTCCTCCTCACACTAATCATTCCTTGCTTTGCTCACTGCTGGGTTTTTTGTTCAGGATTTTTTTTGCTCAGAAATGCAGCTGGGATCGTGTTTTTCATTATATTTGTCCTCTGGGAATTGCACAACTAAATTTGCATTGTTTTTCTTTTGCAAGCATACAAGTACAGTCTTATGGTAACAGGTTGACAAGGCAAGGCTGCATATAGGCTAATTTGTGCAGGATGCCAGGGACCCATTTTCAAGTTGTCAGCAGAACAACATCAGTAAAAGTT